AAGACGTTGATCCTCGGCCATATCCGATTGGGTCGGGCGGACGAGGGAGAGGATGGGGGGGGGCTGCGACCGGCGGGGGGGGCCGGGGCCAGTCGGGCTGAGGGAGAAGATGGCAGTAGCGAGGTGGGCCGTGGGGATCAGGGGGCGGAACGAGGCGAGGAAGAGGGGGAGGAGGAGGATTGCGAGGTGCGTCGCGAGATAAGACAGTGGTACAGTGGCTTAAGTGTATATGAGGTGGCAGTGACGCCGTGGCGGGGGGGAACCCCGCTAGCCCGATCGAAGCTCAGCAAAAAGAAAAGCGAGGCTGCTCAGATCGAAGGGGGGGGCGGTGGGGGGGCTGGCAGTGGGAAGAAGAGAAGAAGGGGAGGGGGGGAAGGTGGGCGAGACAGTGCGGCGAGTGGCGAGAAGCATGTAAATAGGCAGCAGAATGCGTGACAACAAAGGCAAAGCATTTTCGGAAAGGTTTCAAGAAGACGGCTGCTCTTTTTCAAGTGTGTACTTTCAGCCACCCACTTTTGACCAGTACCAGACGCATTATTCGACGAGCTGTCGCCCGTAATAAGCCGCGCCCACCGCCGCCACCTCCTCAGGCGGTACACCCTCCACGCTCAGCACCTTCACCTTCCCCAGTGTGAGCCGGCTCCGCACGAATTCCCCCAGGAAAGGCAAGCGGGCCGTGCCCCCCGCCAGCAGCACGCCTTGCAAGCCCTCCAGACCCACCCCCGACGCCCGCAATGCCTCCACCACGGGCGCTTCCAACTGGTCCAAGACAGGCAGCGCTAGTCGCTCCAGGGCGGCCCTGGATACGGTCGCGTCCAGGTGCTTCGGCCCCCGGTGGTCGGCGGTGATGAAGGGGAGACGCAGGGTCGAGGACGGGCTCAGACTCAGCTCCTGCTTGCTCGCCTCCGCCGCCTCATGCAAGCGCTCGAGCGCCAGATAGTCCGTGCCTAGGTCCAGGCCGCCGTGCTTCTCCTTGAAGTCGGAGATGAGGTGCTGCACCAGCACCCCGTCTAGCTGCTCCCCGCCCACCGCCCACGTCGTCCTGTTGGCCCGCACGCCCAGCCCCTGCTGGGGGTCCATGGCCACCACCGAGGCCTGCGCGTTCAGGCCCCCCACATCCAGCACCAGCCAGGGCTTCCCGAAGAAGGCCTCTTCGTCCGAGACGGCCCCCGAGTAGTGGGCGCAGACCAGGGCTGCCACCGCGTCCTCCACCACCGCCAGGCCCCCGCCCTGCCCCTCGTCCGCCCCACCGCTCAGACCCGTCGCATCGGCGGCCGCCTTCAGCGCCCGACGCTTCGCCCCTTCATCGAAGTAGGAGGGGACTGCGAGGATGGCGAAACCCGGGGTGGTGTGCAGTTTGTGCTCCGCGGACTGCACGAGCTCCTCAAGGACCCGCGCGCTCGCTTCCAGGGGCGTCAGGGCTCGCCCCCCCTTGAGCCTCATGACCAACGGAGAGAGGTCCCCGTCCGCAGATCCTTCCCTGGCGTCGACGGCGAAGGGGAACAAAGGCCGGACTTTGTCCTCGTAAGCGGCCAGGCCCAGCAGGCGCTGGATGTTGAAGCCCACCTTCGCGGGCTCCCTCCATCGTGCTCGGCGAGCCAGCTGTCCTACCACCAGGTGATCATCTTCATAGGATATGAACGCAGGAGTAGACCGTCGGCCTTCATGATTCTCCACCACCTCTGGCGCTCGTTCTTTCGCAGCCACGAAAGCCACGCATGCCTGCGAAGATCCCAGGTCTAGTCCCAGGACCGGAAACTCACGCCTGACGTTCGCGCCCGCTTCCTCTCGCCCTTCACTTTCCTCGTGATCCCTCTCCTCCTCCTCGTCGTCAGTGACCTCTTTGCCTTCTCTCTTTTTCTTGTCTGCCTTGGCTATCCGTTGCGCCGCCCGTACTAGGTAATGGGCAAGTGTCGCCCCTACAAGTATACCAATACCGATGAGCACAGGATTCTCCCTCCGGCACGTCGCACGAAAGCACCGTCGCGCATCTTGCCGGGTCCGAGGAGGCCGCCTCATGCAGCAAGGGCGGCTGCGGGGCGAAGTGTCTTGGGCATAGGCAAAGGCGATAGTTGCGGACGGAGCGGTGGAGAGGGCAACGGAGTGGAGGCGAGCATCACGCAATTTGTGGGACAAAGAAAGCGCCGCCCGCATGAATTGCCCTATGGCTGTCCTTTAAGTTGTGTGATTGTTCCCTATATGTAGTTGGCACGAGCCAATGTCCAGCAGCGGACGCATAATGGTAAGAAAATGAACTAAGAGCGCGCCTAGGCGTTGCGATGAACAAGGCATGCGTCATCATGTCAGATTCCCACCAAGGCCCACAAGTTCAGGTTAGGCGGCGAGTACGACCCCAGTGAAACAAATATTGAGAGGGACATAGAAAGCATCGAGACTCTTTTCGTCGTCCTTCTTCACATTGTTTTTTTTTTTCCAAGTACTACAGTTGGCCGTAAACACGGAGGTAGGAGGTTATCCCTACAAACAGCGCGCATCATTTACTGAAATATTCTTGACAAGCCCGTTGAAGGTCCCACGAGTATGAATCAAGGTAAAACAGGCACGTTTTATCATCTGCTTTCGTTAACTCCTTCATTCTAGCCATTTTCGTCTTCTTCTCCGGGTCGCCTGCGACGAGGCTCAAATCGCCAAGACCACCCTAAAAATGTTCATTTAAATAAGGGAAAGAGCATCCAGGGTCTACAATGATATTCCATGACCCAGATAAGCGAAAAATATATACTACGGCACGTACCGTGATGGTCGAAGTGGGCGTGGAAACGTCTTCGCCGTTGGGCTTTGTTCTGTGCATGTTAAAAAAATGAGGTCAGAATACGAGTACACATATCAAAACAAGTTTTGAAGAAATCGCATTCATCTCTCCTTCCGAAAACATAGAGAAAACGTACACAACCGGAGAGGCCTCTTGGGCGACGAGCCTCTCGGCAGCAGCTTGGGAGTCCTCGTAAGCCTTCACAACCTTGAGCATGGGAAGAGGGGACGTTGTGAATATTACACATTGCCAGCTCATAAAGGGGGGTTTCTACGACGTGCTTCGTAGGAAATGCCTTAACAAACGACACTGCGTCTCACCTTCTCTTCCAGCTCAAAATCGTGAGCGGGCGGCAAGGTTGTCTGTGACGAATCGTGGATAGGACATGAGGTTAAACTCGATTGACGCCTCTCCGTATTTGAAGACAGGCGATTTGCCATGCCCGCCTTGAACGTATCTCGTATAGCCAGCACGAACACGACTCGTACACATTATGACGAAAAGAGATCAAGAAGACAGGCAAAAAGGACTTCATAGGACACATATTCTTCCCAAACTAGCTCTTGTCCGACTCCCCGATCTACTCACATCCAGTTCCGGTAGTACCCGCAGATCGGCAGGCAAACCATTTGCGTCGACTTTGAACGTCGAATACGCCAAAGTAGGGTAGTGTGCCATTTCGCACGAAAATTGGGCTCGCGAGGCTACTCAGGTGAAGAAGTGTGCGAGTGAATTTTATAAGGCAATAATTAAGCGAGCCTTGGAAGACGAATGGCTGCCATGCATTTTAAGCTGTTCGCACTTGACCGTGGATGCGTGCGTTAGTGCGCACCAAGAGGATGCGCCACTGCGCGCGGCCACCCGCGTGAGATGGTGCTTATCCCGAGTGCCCGGGGCCCAGCGTGACGTCGCTCTACGCCATTCCTTACAGCCCCGTGATCCCTCCCCCGCGGTTGCGTGCTTGTCCACATGAATTTATGTAGCAATGTACGTTCGATGAGATCAGTCCCACTTATTTTGAGAGCGGAATTTCTGGTCACGTAAACTCATTTGCAATATATAATCAATGCACTGATGCATGTTGCATTTCTGCGTCGGCCCATCTCTTTTCTCCTTCTTCCGTTGAATAATAATGCACTATTCTGAAGGGACCACACCCGATCTCGTTAAGCCTGGATATTTTTATTTCTTCCAGTCAGGACATAGTATTTAGAAACCATGAAGTCTCCATCAGCCACGGCGAGGAACGCAACCGCAATTACTGCCAACCAAGCAAAAGCACGAGCGGCTCAGCTGGTATCTGCTACGGACTCTACGTTCAAATCGTCGCTTTCCCTCGCAAACCGAGTGGAGAAAGCATCTCATGTGACCAATCTGCCTCTATCTGGTCGGATTTTAGCAGAAGTTGCCGTTCCTGAGAACATGTACTTCCGTCAAATGGAGCTGCGTGATGCTGCCGCAGTCTTTCATTTAGGGGAAGAAATCTTCAACGCCGATTCTTTCCCACAGCTTTATCGGACTTGGGACGCGTTTGAAGTGATCGAAAATCTTGACGGTGACGGAGAGCTGTGTCTCGTAGCCGAAGAAGTGCTTGAAGGAGTTTCCTCAGGGATCGTTCCTACTGGGGAAGGTGGGCCTGGGCGCCTCCACCCTCACGGCCGAATCGTCGGATTCATTTTCGGCAGCATCACCGAGAAGCGGAAACAGGAGCACAGCTGTGGCCTTTTGGGATGGGTAGGTATCGCACCTTCTCACCAACGGCGGAACATCGGGACGGTGCTGGCGCACAAGCTCTTCGAGGCCTTCTTAGAGGAAGGAATAAGCTTGATCGTGGCCGACACTCCCAAGGAGAACACACCGGCCATCCAGTTTCTGCACCGCATGGGATTTGGTACGCCCGTCTATCATGTGAGTTATCAGTCCAAATTTGCTCGCGATTTCGTGCATGGACTGCCTGTCTGTGCCCCATGCTCTCTCCGTCGTCTTAAAGCCTCTCCCCATCAACCGATATCAGGTGTATATGAGCTTAAACTTAGCACGCCACCAGCAGCGGACTCAACACTTGCCGCCGCCACAAGAGAGGGTCTTGCCTCCCGAGGCGAAGGGGGTGAAGCTCCGGCCCATGAGCATCGACGATCTGGCGGCCGTCCACGACCTGGGCGAGCGGGTCTACGACCGGCATCTGTACCCGAATCTGTACAGAATCTGGTGAGCAGCGGGACCAAAGAGGGTTTGGAGAAGGGAAACAGAGGGAATACGGGTTCCTTTTATGTTCAGGGAGGCGAAAAGTGGCATGCTGGGAGCTAGAGAAGCGGCGATCAAGTGTACAGGTCTCCCTAGCTCATGATTGGAGCCCACCCCACAGGTCGGAGAGCGAGGTTTTGGAGCTCTTTGGCTCAGACTCTGAATTTTGCCGGGTGGCCGAATATGAGGGGAAGGTGGTGGGCTTTGTCATGGGCACCACAATATCGAAGCGCCGGAGCTCCTGGCGCTATGGTTACTTAGGTGCGTGTTGGTGAGAGGAAAATGAATGTAAAAAGGTCTCGTTCAAAAATCATGGGACGACTATGCTGTAGTTGAAAAAGTGTGCATATCCTTCGCATGGCACAGTCTGGCTGGGCGTGGCTCCCGAGGTCCAGCGTTTCGGCGTGGGGAAGCGACTCTTCCAATCCTTCCAGGACCTGATGGTGGAGGACGGCTGCCGCATCATCATGATCGACACACAGGCGGACAACCTCCCTGCTCGCAAGTTCTTCGAGCGGGCGGGCTTCGGGTCGCTCGAGTCTCACGTCTACTTTAGCAAGGTCGTCGGCCCCGAGGACGTCATCGACAGCGAAGAAATGATCTGCCGGCAACCCTCCTTCACCGACGGCGAGAGTCCCCCCTCCTCTACCTTTAACAATGCCATCCTGGCTGCCGCCGTCAAGAGCAAGAGGTGCACGCATCGGGCACGCAAGCCGGGGGGCTTTAAAGTCACACGCCTTTTCCGCTTTAAACGCTCCCATTCTGTGCTGGAGACGGCGACGATAGATGATCGCCTGGACGATTTGACGAAAAATTGTGCGGCCACGGATTCCTCAGGAAGAAATGGGGACGAGCTTTACACTTATCGCGCAGTGGGCACCAACGGAGGCAGAGACAGTCAAGAGCAGTGTACAGGCAAGAAGGGGAAAGCATCTAGCGCTCGCTGCTCGAAACGGCTCCGGCAAAAGGCTACGGAGGAGTCGAAAAAGTCGAAGCAGGAAACTTAGATAGCGATAGGAGCAGTCTCAACACTAGGTGGGCTGAACACGGTGGGGCGAAGGAGCCAACACGCACGCATACCCTCGAAGAGGTAAAGCTGACCAGCA